ATATATATATATATATATATATATATATATATATATATATATATAGTGGAAAAGAAAAGAAAATGCACTATAATGAAAAATATATTTTGCAATAGTATTAATCATAACTACTAAAGTCATTATCAATATTTTTTAATTAAAATTTGTTAAAAAAAATGAAAAAAGTCTCACATTAGTAGTTAACAATATATCGGTAGTCAACAATTTTTCTTCCTTTGATCTAGTTTTTGGGGTCTGAATTAGACGTAGGATCTAATTTTACAATACTAAATTAGAGACATTTACATTGCATCTGATAAGACATATTTAACGATAATTAAATCGTTATTATTAATTAGTTATAGTTAAAGATGATCTTTGATGTAATGACGAGGCAAAATAAGAAAGAGGAAAAATAAAAATAAATTGTAAAAGTATAAGTTTTTTACGTGCTTACATACACTTGTCATTGTATAAAACCTGAATATAATTTCATTCTTAATTTATTTAATATTAGACTTCGTATTATGTTATTCAGACATTGCAAAATTAATCTTAGACATTTATGATATTGAATATAATTATCTCATAAATATATTGTTTAAGTGTCCAATTATAACATGACGTGCTGCTTCAATGGCTCGATATAAAAGACGATCAGTTCTACAGCTTTTAATGTCATATCTTCCAAAATCAAATTATGTACTGTCCGATTTGCAACCCCTAAAAGTTACAGTTAGGTTTGATGTCTATTTATTAGTACTATTTTAATTGTTTTCCTAAGTTGTTATAATAGCATATTCATCAACATCTTTAAATTAAATCACCAGTTGGGATCCATAATCAGTCAGCTCCGAATTGAGATTTCTTGGCATTATATATTTTTAAATTAAAATATTATGCTTAAAAAAGATGTTTTATTGATTTAAGTGAAGATGTTTCCACATTTGTCGTTATCGTTGAACAACAATCAAAAAAAAATTATAAAAATTAAACTACATAAATATATTAATATGATTACAAATATATCTAGTCGTCTATCGATATGATTATAGTGAATAAAAGACTTAAAATTATATTTATGAAAATGAAAAAATCATATTAAAAATATGGCTCAAAATATAAGCACTATGGTATATAAGTTTAAATTTGATTAAATTTTAAAATATTAATAATGAATGAGAAAGGCATTCAATGTCCATATCGGCCAAATAACGATTGATATCTTTTGACTTAATTTATTTTGAAGACTACTTTAAATTGTAAGTTACAACTAAAAAGCAACCTAATTGTACCCTTTGTGGCTCTTCCTTATTTTTTTTAATAGCGATTACAATACTATTAATTCAAATTTGCGTCACATAAGATCTTATTTACTAATTCGCGATAATTTTAACCTTTTGCCATTCGTATCACATTTAAAACGCTTGATCTTTGCGTGAAGAGGAAGTGTGACACCACAATTTAGTTCAATTTCATGTATGTATTTTGTTTATACACAATAAATATATAAATAAATAAAAAAGAAGATAAAATGAGTAACATTATTATCAAAAGTTAGTGTATTTAGCCTAGTAAATTTTAGAAGTCATTTGATTTTAGACCAAAAAAAAAAAGAAAAGGGAAGAGCCGACCATCAACACCATTTTTAATAACCTCAATGATTATTCTGTACCTCTTTAGATAATTATTTGAAGAGTTGAATTTCAAGTTTCCTGTCTACAAAAGCTATTTTTAGCTAAACATGTGGAAAAATTGATGAGTATCAATTATTATCCACTTTATTATAAATCATTATTTCAAAATATTTATTAATTTATAAATAAAATTATCTTTTTCCCCCACACATTTAGCTAAAAATACCTTAATAAAATAATATATAAATATCTTTTTATTATTGATAATGCATTAGGCTAACTTTTATCGGTTATCGAATGACCCTTGAATCGTAGAATAAAATTATTCCTCCCATAATTAATTAGTGAAATTGTTGTGAAAAATAGCTCCGATGAAATATGTCGGCCGATTTTGTACTTATCTTTAAGGAAGATCAACGTGGCGGCCGTGCCTAGACGACAGACTAGCAGCCAAGCAAAGAAAACAAATTACTCTCCCTTTATGCGTGCTCCATATGCTCTCTTTCCTCAATCATCCACACAAACGCGAACAACGTAGCGGAATAGTAAATACTCTTTCATTAATAAATTTTTATTTAAAATATTTTATTAAAAAGTTAAAATTTACATATTTAAATTTAATTAAATTCTAATATTAATATCACATCATCATACACCACCCACCCTGGGTTTTTCTCTTTCCATATATAAATACAAAATTTATCTCTATATTCCAACCTCCATATATATTCTAATAACAAACGTTTCTTCTCATATATCACATTTTCTCCTTTCTCCATCTTCTTTCTTCTGAAAAAAACTAACAAAACAAGTGAATATATTTAATTTTTTTCAGTATGATGGAAGGAGAGAAGAGAAAACAGAGGCAACACCAGCAAGATAAGCCATACAGAGGAATACGGATGAGGAAGTGGGGTAAATGGGTAGCTGAAATTCGAGAACCAAACAAACGCTCTCGAATTTGGCTTGGTTCTTATTCTTCCCCTGTTGCTGCTGCTCGTGCTTACGATACCGCTGTATTTTACTTGCGAGGTCCTTCAGCTAGGCTTAATTTCCCTGAATGTATAGTGGATGACCATGAAATTCACGATCTATCAGCTGCTTCTATTAGAAAGAAAGCTACTGAGGTAGGTGCTCGAGTTGATGCTCTGCAAACTGCGATTCACAATTCTACTGTTAATTCTGTTGAATCAAACTGTAATTCGAATTCTAAATCTACAAGGATGATGATGAAGCCTGATTTGAATGAATATCCTAGCCCGGAAAGTTGCGACGAAGATAACTGAATCTCTGCGAGTTAACAGAGGCCAAAAGGGGGATTATTTTTATGTTGATTAGATATACTGAGGATCCATGTATGAAATATAATCCGAAGGGATTATATGTTAATATTATCAATTATGATAGTTATTAAAGGAAATTTAATCTCAAATTACGAATTACTGTTTGTTCGTTTCTTTGAATTTAAATATTTTTTTCTACATAATTTGTTACTGTTTCATTGAAGATTGGAATGGAATCGTACTAATAATAGAAGATAAAAGCCAAAAAAAAAAACAAGATATGGCCTACAAAAAAAAAGGGAAAATTCAGTTGGCAAACAAATTCTCTTTTATGTTAACAACAAGTAGATAAGAAGATAAGAAGAAGAAGAAGAAGAGATTGTGTTGTAAACCGGTAAAATATGTGACGTTGATCGTGTGTGGAGACCACCACCGCTATACGATGGAGTGCCCCACGCCAGAGTCATGGTGCTTTAATATACTAAATAAAAAAACAAAAAAGTAGTGGTCCTAATTATTTGATTAACGTGTGTTCGGAATTTGTATTAATGTCTTGATTAAATTTGATTGGACAAGTTATAATTAATACGATAATAAGCTAAGTAGCATTTTTAATAGGATATATTTTTTCTTTTTTGTGTTAAGGGTTTAAATTTTAAATTTTTTGATAAGGAATGAAATAGTTTTATCACCGTATCGCGACTGTGGTCGATAGTAATGGGCCTAATTAAGTCACTGTCAGGGGTGGGCATTATGATGATTATGAAGCTGAGAAGGAAAGCTTTCTTCCCTATTTGCTTGGGTATTGGATGATGCACACCTGGGCGGTGCTAATATTTTCGATTCTTTTAGATATTTATTTTGTTTGTCAATATTTGAAGTCAAAACGGATCTAGATACTATGGGTGTGAATTTTTGAAAATTTTATATACACTTTATTGCCTTCCTTGATGAGGGATCAAATTCTTTTTGGCTAAGATTTTTGATAAATTGAAGTTTAAATTTGACTATATAAGGTATGGAATATGTTAAAGGACTTGATTACTTAGACATGTTATGTCACATTTATTTAGGGTGAGGTTAAAATAAAAAATGAGACATCATGTAATCAATTAGAAGGTGAAAATTGTAATAAGATACTTGTAATTGACTTCTATTGATGTAAAATTATCGATTGGAGTTATATATTAGTGTTACGTGTTTGGATTTTTAAGTCATTTTTGCTAATATTATTAGTGCTATTTGTTTGAGTGGTGGAGTCAAGTGTCAACCGATGTTTTTCATTGGTTTCTCACAAATCGTACGATCACGGCATATATACATACAGACTTCATAAAAAGATTTCATTTGTTATCTTTTGAAGTCTCACTTTCAAAAAAATAGAAATTTATATTCAAAATTTCTAATTACAAAGGAGATTTTGAATTTATGAAATTTAAATTGAGATTTTCCTTTTAAAATGAAAGTGTATTTACTAGTTGACCACTACTCGTGGATTTCAGTTGTTTTCACATGAAGACCAGGAATTCTTATTTGCTTTGTCAGATCAAGGTACAGGATTCTGAACATATCTTAGATTCCTAAATACATTTTCTGATGCATAGTTGATTTAAACTAAAATAAATTAGTTGTGCAGTTTGTCTTATTTAATTAGCAACATGGAGATAAGTACGAGGGGGATATGATATTGTATCAAAAGCTCTCATTTATTTAAAAAAAAAGAAACAACCAATCCTAAGCGATTCCATTGATTAATTTAAATTCGTGACAAAAATATTACTATATGTAAAACATTTTTTATAAATTGATTTAAACTTTTTTTATTTACATTTGAAATCTCTAACTAAAAATAAAAGATATGTATATATATATTCGTAAATTATACACAAGCTATTAGTGTATGCATTTTGGCATGGAAAAAGCATTTCTGAGTCCAATTTCCCCATGTATGATGCTTATAATGTTTGGGAGATTATTTTTATAGAAAAATCTACTTTTTATTAGTAAAATTAATATAAAAAAAATAAATTCCATAAATAACATTGTATGAATTATACCCGCACCCAAATGGACCACTCACTCCCATGAGGCCATGACCCATCCCCGTCCACCCCCCATTAGCATTTCGCAACACTCCTTAAACCCCACCCCACCCCAATCGTTGTATCAATGTCAGGTGTGAGTCCCTTTCTTATCGTCCAAAAGTATTGATCCTTCACTTGCATGTGACCTATCTTATCTAAACGCTCCTTACCACCCCTGGCTCAGCTCACCCTCTCCACACTACCTGACCTATTTTGGATCCTCAATACTATTGTTATAATATATTTTTATCAACTTATCAAATATCAAAAAAACAAATAACAACTTAATTACGATATATGTACACCCTATATTTTCATTTCATTTGTCTAGTTTCTTCGAGGCACCATAAAGTATATAGAAGTTCATTAAAGTCTAATAATGTTGTGATTTTCCACCAAATACAAGTTTTCTAACAATATCTTACAATTAATGATAAATATATTGGTGTTGTTATCTATGTTTAATGTTTGGTAGTTGGAGGTTTAGTCATAACATGATTGTTTTATTTTAAATTATTATTATTAGTTGCATACTATAATACTCCACAGTAAATCTTAAAATAAAGAGAGATCTTTCCACTTGTCCAATGTTTTGGTCGGCTATTACAATTTCATACTATTTATTTATTTGGAGTTTTATTGTATGGAATGATGCAATGCGGTTGCACAAGAAAGATTCAACCAATCAATATTAATTATACACTTCTTCTTGGAAAAAATATTAATTAAACTGTGGTCGGCTAAGCACTATTCATTATTTTCCAAATTATTGGACCACTTATTTAATTAATCAGAGTTTGGTCGAATCAGTCTCTTAATTTAACTCCAAACTTCAAAGTATAGGATAATTATGCATATATTCTTTTAATTATTTGCCTGACTTTTCTTATTCAATAAATATTGGTGGAAGGAATGTTAATAATTTTTTAATTTTCTAATTATTTATTCTAGTTATAGGAACTGGCGGGGAGAGAAAAAAGAAATGATAGAAAGACAATAATATATAATGGATAAGTAAAATAGATATTTATTTTTAATTTATTGGAGAAATAAAATCAGACAAAAGCCATTAAGGGTGTGATAGTAGCCTAATAGTCAATGAATTGGTTGATAACTACGAAGTTCAAAAACTTAGCTAAGTCAAAAAAATATTTTTCATCTGTCATAATGTTGGTGGACAAAGTTATCTGCCACCTATTGTCGATAATAGTCTAGGTGTGTAAAAATTGTTCTGAATAGAATTATCTGACACTTGTTATTCGTGATAATCAAGGTATATGATAATTAATCTATAATGATATTTATAATTATCGAGGTGCATAATAGTTGACCCAAAAACTTTCTATAGAGAGAATTGACTGCTTCTTGTCGAGGCACAGCTTTTATTCCACGGTTGTACCATATGTTTGATTCAAAAATTTATTATTCTCTCCGTGGCAATAACTTGACATAATTTAGGTCAATATAAAATTTGTGACTTTTTATTTGAAATTTATATCTATAAATTTGATATAGGAGTAATATTTTTGTGATTATGAAATATTTAAAAATATGATTTTAAAAATGCTCTAATATTAATTGATCATAAAACTCTCTCAAAAAGAAAATACAGATTCTTTTTTTCAAGAAAGAAGATTAATTTTAAATGTCAATATATTAATATATATAATTTTTCTTTTGTTAAATTATTGTTTTATTATTGTGATATTCAACAAAACATATGTAACGTTCCACTAATAACAATGTGAGTTTTTGGATTCATTCGGTAAATATTTGGATCATTTAAAAGATTATATTACTGTCATATAGAGTGATAGTACAGTATAAATATAACACGAGTAACAATATGGTGGAACAATTGATAATATGACAATAACAATGAAGTTAAGAATATATACAAGTAATTTATCAAGAATCGAGGGACTAAAAATATTTTTAAATCAACAAAAAGGACATAAAAGGGACCAAAATAGCTAAAAATAGCAAACCAAGATGGAAATTTGGAGTTGGAAGGGGACTGGTCATGGTCATGGACAATTATTAATTAAAGCAAAAAATGTTTTTCTTATCGTCGTGTACCAAATAAAAAATCATTGAATCATTGAACAGGTCCCCAACTTTCTCAAAAAATACATTTGCTACTTATTTCTTATAAAATATCAACATTTCACCACTTGTCATACCATGCACATTTATATAAAGTGGGTTAGAATTTTTAAGACGAATAATAAATTAAAGTGATAAAATCAGAATTCATAAATTTTAAATTCTGATTCTATTCTCAATTTGAATTCTGATTCAATCCCTTTTAATGAGCGTCATGTAGTTGTAAGTTGCGAATTTTATAGGAAAGTATTCGATTGCTTTTACCATTATTTTGTTATCAATAACGTAAGGTACACTTATGAACATTGCTTAAGATATAAGTTTTTGCTTTCCTATTGGGTTATATAGTGATGAAATACAACCAATTGTGGAACTTCATTAGCAACTTTTGCCTTTTTCTTTTATATAAATTGTGGTAAAAATAGTTTTTGGACTCCCTTTATTTGTTACTCCACTTGAAGTTGTTAAGATCAAGATTAATCGGATCATGTATATATCAATATACTTATTTCATAACGAAATAGAGTTTTAATCAACTTAACCCTAAAAGCTAGTTATAAAGGTAAGGATATACTATTTAAGTCATAATAATAAAGAGACCATCCATCCTTAAAGGCTCGATGTGAAAAGCTTTACATATTTTCACTCTAATTAAATCGCATAGAATATTTCAAAAGAAGGGGATTCAATTAAACTTTGTTATTTATTCTTAGCTTCACAACTACGTCTCGTATCTATTTGGATTTTTGAACTTCTAAAGAATGGCCAATAACAATAAGGTAGAAGTTTCAGCGATGTTTTATCGAAAA